CTCTTATTGTTCAAAAGTTATGGCCAAGGTTAAAGTTGACAACAGACAAACAGATAAACAACAAACAAACAGACAGGACAAAAACAATATACGCCCGGGATCTATCGATCCGGGCGCATAAAAAATTGAGAATTTTCAATACTCGCTATGCTGTAAGCTTTTAAGATATATCGGGTTCAGAAAATGAAATCGGGCTCGTTATTTGTTAATTTCCCGCCAGGAAGTCATCGTTACAATCTGCAATCCTCGACTGACTCCATTGTGCGTGGTACAAGCCATCCGAAGAGCTCCGAGTATCATCGCAGACGTCAATGTTGAAAGCCATACTAAAGCAAAAATCCCAAGGTTTGTACTTATTTATGCTTTTCAAGGTTTTTAATAAAATCAGTTAAATACTAAAAAACCCACTCATTTAGGGACTTTTACGAGAAGCGCTGACTTTTACAATCGACGCCACGGTTACATTTACATTGAAACCTGCCTTATGTAAGGAGGCACAGAATTGATAATATTCGTTTATTCTGTGTATGTAATTAAATCTAAAATAAATGTCAGATCGAAAAGGACTTTTAAAGTTGACGACCATGAGATGAAAATTATTGTATGGTTGGTTGATTGCATGTTCTTTACACCCAGTTTAATAATTTTTCCCTCATACAGAGACGTTACCATATACCGATTAAAATTTCTTTAAGAAAAAATTTGATTTAACTTTTCAGTTAACAAAAGACATTAGCCAAAGGTGATTGAAATTCTATAATATAGTAACTAGTATTTCAAATAAAATAATCTATAAGATATACCAACCTAAGCATCAACTTTAATCTAAAAATAACTTTAAAGGAGATTCTTCTGCTTCGTTAGTATCAAGTGTATCCCTGCTCATGGGCTAAGAATTGAATATATTATAATTAAGGGAAAAAAACACCACCTCCTAGAAGCGGCCCAGAAAATGATATGAAGTTCTAGCTCCCAACAGCTAAAAAACCGACACATCTATTCATGGTTTTTACTTACAGAAAGGAGATACATGTACAAAAAATAAAAGAGCATGAAAAAAGCTATTTAAGGAATCTCAGAAAGATACGCGAGAGGAAATCCTCCAAACACTTTCTGGCGATGATGGCGCCTGTTAACTTTCTTCCAACACAGGCATCACCCAAGGGACAAGCACTACCATCAAATGCAGTATCAAAAAAGTCGAGAAAAAGACCACTTTTCGATTTTGTGAAGGCACACCAGGAAGCATACGACGATTTTATTACTAAAAAAGTGCCAAAGCTTTTGAGAGCTTTGGGTGTAAGCTCTGACCCCGATTACTGCAATTGTTATATCAAACTTTTCATTTTTTTATTTCAAATTATCTATATTTAAATACATAAGTTTTGATCAATAAATTTTAAACTTTCAATGTCAGAAAATTATACAAATACAAAGATAAAGATTTAATGTGTTTTATGTGTTTATTTTTACAAGTTAAGAATAAATGACTGTCGAAAGGTCGTACACGGTTCATTCGTTAAGTATTCGGGGTATGAAATGCCGATAAATAGATTTTATTAAATAGTAGCATACATAATTTCAAAATGAAAATGTTAAAATGTAATTTTTTTGATTTTAAGTTATTTAACGCATTTTTTATTTGAAGTGAAACAGAATGTGTAAATAAAAGCTGTTATCTAGAAATCAATGAAATTATGGATTATGTAGTCAATTGCATTATCCTCCAACATATAATATAGCCATAGAAATCTTTAAAAGTAAAAATTTGTATTCAGAGCACTTACATGGAATACAATATGCTTATGTAGAACCAAAATAAAACCCAATTTGTGGATGGTGTAATGGTTTAAAAAAAAAACGGTCGCAACTATAATAAAACTTGTCTATAGTTAACTATAATTTACTTTGAAACACTAGAAAATTGCTTGTTAGATATGTAGGGTACTTAACACAAACAAAATTTGATGCATGGATTGATGTATATATTTTTTGCCTGGTTTTGATTTGAAATGACAAAAATAATAAATCCCTGAAATGTAAAGAAATCGTAAATTTTCCTCGGTGCTTAAATTTGAGACTTTGTTTTGCTCTCTGTATAATTCCATACAAAATTTTGCACAAATTTTTAACCTCATGACAAAATCTTGTACCCCCCATTTTACTTGGTAAACATCGTTCAGGTTACCAATTCAAATTAAAATCTATAAGAAATATTGCTGATTTCTGAAAAAGTGTGTTTGTGTTATTCATCCTTAAGATAATAAAATATTATCTATCAGAAATTAATAGTAAAAATGCTTTGATTTACTTTAGTTAATTAAAAATAAGTATATTGGCCTATCGTAACTACATGTATAATTAATTAAGAGTTAACTAATGTTAACTATATTTAGCTCAAGTACATTTTAGGCTGGGAATTCTTTTTCTGAACAACGAAATATCTTCTTTAAATGGCCAAATTAATCGTATTTCATTATCAAATTTTTATTTCAATTTATATCAATATTTATATTGAAAACAGCTCCCGTACATTTTACCTGTGTAAAAGTAAGCGTCGATTGTGAAAATCGGCGCTTCTCGTAAAAGTCCAAGAGTATGACGTAAACGTTAAAAGATTTCATGTGTATTGTATGCTTTAACATTTTGAAATTTGTGTAGAAGTGCCAGGGAGGGGGATCCTAAACAGAAAGTCTACGAGAATAAAGAGTTATGTGCCATTTATTTTGACCTGATCAGATATAAGTTGACATTGATGGCGAAGGCAGAAATTTACATTTACCAATTTGAATGTGTTTGAGCTCTTATTCGACTGAGGACGTATAAGTTAATGATTTGAGAAATTAGGCTTTAGAGAGTTCACCTACTTTTCTTGTATTTATTTAATATTCAAGTGTTGCTTCATCACTTAATCGTCGGTAAATTCGACTGATAGTCAAATAGTCGACTAGTCGTTGACATCCCTAGTTTTTACTGATTATTTTGTCTTTAATATCTTCACCGGTGAATGTTTGATTTTCTATTCTGGCATCTCCTTCCTTACCCCTGAAGGCCAAATTGGTTGAAATTAGTCAATTGGTTTTGGAGATCAAATAAAGGTTTAGAGACATACCAGCTACAAAACTTACCTTACAAGGCAGAATTAAAAATTCCAAGCATGCATTAACACGTAACTTTATTTCAGTCAAATTAACTTTGTTTTGAAAAACCCTTGAAGGTCAAATAAATTAGTCTAAATTTTATTATGTGTGCAAGTAAATGCACTGGGAAATACAGATTACAAAGGATTACTAAAAAGTAACTTCAGGCATATAGCAACAGGGGTGGGGGACTAGCCCAGACTTTTTTCTACAATTGAAAATTTTATTAAAAGGCTGGTTCCCCCTTACTTTTACAGTAAAGTCAAATTAGCCTAGGGTAATGTAGTATTGTAGCAATAAAATTTGGTACACCGAAAGATGTGGGAATCTACCCCTAACCCCTCTTTTCAGGAAAGTTTGTTCTCGGCCCCCCCCCCCCCCCCCCCCAATGATGCTCTGGCACTGAACGTCTTGGGAAAAAAACACTTAAAGACAATATGACTGTATCATAAAGTCAAACCTCCTTTCTCTTGATCTTCTTTCCGAAGACTTGCAATAAAGAAACATATAATGATGTATGCATACTTGATTGCGCCCATGAGAAAAGGGTGCTTATGACATTTTTTATGCATTTTGAGTTTTTCACGGATTTTGATAGAGTAAGGTTAGAAGTTGTCAAATATGAATTTTTATGGTCGTAAGTCTACTCTAAGTAGGTATTTTCTTCATTTATATCAAAGATACTTTAACAGGTCCATAATGACGTCATGTTTTTCAACAACTTCAAACGTTTTCAGAGTGAACGTAAAATGATTTTCTTCTGTAATTTTACATTAATTACCCTTGCACATTATTTTTGTCTCATTGTCTCTTTTAATTATTAATAGTTATATATATTATGGATTCATCAGTGGTGTATAGTATTATGAGTGTGTGTTTGTTTTACATTTCACGTTTCTATGACACCAGGGGGAGACCGGAAGAGCGGGCGACATCCATTCAGTTTTTAGTTTTAAATAATGATTTTCTCAAACAAAATATTTACTAGTAATCCATGCAAGAGTCATCTGATAAGCCTGTAGAATTTATTAGAAAATTATTTTAATTTAAACATTGATCTCAATAGGTCAAGATGTAATTTTTTTGCCTGAATTCGGGATAAAACGGTATTTCTTAAGTTACCATGGGTGGCCTACTACTTGGACGACTATTGCTTGTTGGATTAATAGCGGAGGGAATATCATCAGAACTTGCATGATGATCTGAGTCATGAAGTTGTCTTGACCATTAAAATCAACCCTTAGGTTATCAGTTTCAGCATTCATTATGTCGTCATTTTCGCCTGATAGAACTTGCATACGCTTTTTGCGCATTCTATCTACATGTTTGACTTGATCTGAACCCCTTGGTCCACAATTTACAAGGTATGTCAAATCTGACATCTTTTTCTTAACCTTGTAAGGGCCCTGCCAGTAACTGGTCAACTTCGGCGATGTTCCAGGTTTTCTCCTTGGGAAATAAACATACACCTCCTCGCCGGATTCAAACTTTTTCCACATCAACTTGCGGTCATGATAATGCTTTTGTCTCATCATTGACTGATTCATTTTGGTCCTAACAAAGTAGTGAGCCTTCTCTAGACGTTCCTGCAACTCCCATACCCATTTATTGCTTGGCATGTCCTTTATTTGAGGTGGCATCTCATACTGGAGATCCAGTGGTGTACCAACCTCCCTTCCAAACATCATGTTCGGTGTCATGCCAATAGTTTCATGTACTGATTAGCGGTAGGCTATCATAATGAAAGGAAAGTGCACATCCCAGTCATTATGACGATCATTTACAAACGCACTGAGCATTGTTGTGAGCGTTCTGTAAAATCGCTCAACCATCCCGTCTGAGTGGAGACTTGTATAGAAGATGGTGGTAAACGGACAGTGTCCAGTGACAAGACTTGTAGAGAAGATGGTAGTAAACGGACAGTGTCCGGTGACAAGATTCGTATAGAAGATGGGGATAAACAGTGTCCGGTGAAAAGACTTGTAGAGAAGATGGTGGTAAACCGACAGTGTCCGGTGACAAGACGTGTAGAGAAGATGGTGGTGAGCAGAGAGTGTCCGGTGACAAGACTTGTAAAGAAGATGGTGGTAAACGGACAGTGTCCGGTGACAAGATTCGTAGAGAAGATGGTAGTAAACGGACAGTGTCCGGTGACTAGATTCGTATAGAAGATGGGGATAATCAGACGGTGTCCGGTGACAAGATTCGTATAGAAGATGGTGGTGAACAGAGAGTGTCCGGTACCAAGATTCTGAAAGAAGATGGTGGTAAAGGGACATTCTTCAGTGACAAAACTCGTAAAGAAGATGGTGGTAAACGGACAGTGTCCGGTGACAACATTCGTATAGAAGATGGGGGTAAACAGACAGTGTCCGGTGACAAGATTCGTTTAGAAGATGGTGGTTAACGGACAGTGTCCGGTGACAAGACGTGTAGAGAAGATGGTGGTAAACGGACAGTGTCCGGTGACAAGACTTGTAGAGAAGATGGTGGTGAACAGAGAGTGTCCGATGACAAGACTTGTAGAGAAGATGGTGGTAAACCGACAATGTCCCGTGACAAGACGTGTAGAAAAGATGGTGGTGAGCAGAGAGTGTCCGGTGACAAGACTTGTAAAGAAGATGGTGGTAAACGGACAGTGTCCGGTGACAAGACTTGTAGAGAAGATGGTGGTAAACGGACAGTGTCCGGTGACAAGATTGGTATAGAAGATGGGGGTAAACAGACGGTGTCCGGTGACAAGATTCGTATAGAAGATGGTGGTAAACGGTCAGTGTCCGGTGAAAAGACGTGTAGATAAGAGGGTGGTAAACGGACAGATATAAACGAATATGAAATTAAACGAATGTTGAGTGCTAAATGGGCGGAGGGGATTAAAAGTAAAGATGAGCAGGCAGTTAATGACAGTAAGTCATTCCTGAAGTTAATGAAGTTTGAATGGTCCACCAAAGTTACAAAACTAGCAATAGTCACACTTCAGATTCGTAGCTTCAACAAGGAAAAATGTCTCCCTGAGCCAGAGGACATTATTAAGATTCAAGAAAAGATTCGTAATGACATCAAAAACTTTGATGAAAAGGACACAACACCACAGAACTTCAGATTTGCTGCAGAAGTCTCTCAGGCTAGATTGTTGCTGTATAACAAACGTCGATCTGGTGAAATAGAGGGCATCAGGTATGTACAACTTCACTTCCTGGTTTATCATTTTATAGAAATATAAGGTCAAGGTTTATTATTTTTATCGAATATTGAAATATGGAAAGGAGAAAAATTATGCACTATGCATTAAACATTGTACAAAATGAAATGTTCTTGTAAAGCTAAGGTTATTTTTTTTAAACAGGGTTAAAGACTATGTAAGAAGGCAGCAAAGTGTTACAAATGTGGAGAGGTCAATGAGAGCAGAACTCTCAGCACTAGAACAAAAACTACTGGAATCTCAAGATCAGATAGAAGTTCGTGGCAAGGTATATATATATATGATCAATAGAGAATTAAAGGCATACATTCTGGTAGATTACTGGTATATTACTAAATTTAAATTTCATATAATTAATTAGGAATTTTTATTGTTAACATATTGTTCTAACATCTTGGAAAATTACGCAATTTAGATCCACTTAATTAAAAAGATATCGAAACCTTTATATAATTATATAATTTCTTTCGGGCAGCTTGTAAATCCTTCCATTAAATAAGACCGTACCACGTGACCTCGCGTCGAGAAAGCGAGGAAGACCATTTGGAAGTCGATTATCACTGTCTGCACGGAAAGAAAGGGAAAAAAATGATGGATAGAGAAAGAGGCAAAGAAAGGATTTTTATCGGAGATCATGTTGAGAGGTGGAACCGTGTAAAGGACGAGTTAAAGTTGATGTACAACCATGAAGTTGCGGGTTTCTTACTTGACAGGTCTGTGGCATAGTTTTTTTTCCTGTATATGTTTGAAATCATGCTTAAGAATTAACACTTTTTTATAATTATGTAACACTAATTTATCGGAAAAGTCAAGGATAAAACTTTTGTTATAATTATGCATTCTATAGACTTCAATGGAACTTATACTACAAGAAGCACTTCACCACGACGTCACCACGTGACGTCTATAGTTAAAAAATATGCCTTAATGAAAAAGTGAAAAGTTCAACATTACCCCGGGGATAATTAATTTCAATTTGTAATAATAAAAACATATCTGTACCATGAAAAGTGCTGCTAGAATCCTACTGTCCTATCACAGAAATAATTATTCTACACTTTCGGACGAAAGCATCCCAAAATTTTTACATTTGGTTCATATCATCGAAAAAAATGCATTAATTCCCGTAAACCATACGATTCTAGCAGCACTTTCCTAAAACAATAGAATAAGAACTTTTGATAGAAACAAAAATTAAGTTTCAAAGTGTGCGGCGTAGTGTTGAACTTTTGCATCTTATTTGTTACGAACGACAGAGGAAAGGCTGATCGGCAAGTAAACACCCCCCTGGTTTAATTTTACGAAGAAATTGTAAAAGTATATTACCATACCTTATTCATAAACTTTGTTCCCACATGAATCACACATGATATTCATTCTAAATACTTTTAAACTCCGATTTCTTGTGTTTGTTTACATGAATTCTCGTTACGTTTCACTTTCACTCTGCTACTGCATGATCAACAGTTATGACGTCACGTGTTTGGTATTTAACCCCTGTGATAACTACAGAGACCCAGAAACGACAAAATTCCGTTTCTATTATGCCTCTGCATATTTTGATTAATTTTTACGACCTAAAATCAATCTTAGAAATCGATTATAAGAAATTGTTATCTCTAAACCTCACGTCATATAGCTTACTATGGCGTCATATCATATAGGCAAGTAGAATATTTGGTTGTAACCTTAACCCACCTGCGAAGTCATTATCAAATTATAAAAGAACAACTATGTATAAGTGTTTTTGCAGTTAGATATATCTGTGTAGGCAGCCAAACGAAGGAACTACAAGTATTTTTCTCCGTTTCGATTTATTCGACGTGCGCGAGGGGCCTTCTAAGGGGGTACTAAATTAGTTTAAAACAAATCTGAAAATGTAAGGCACAGCTTTGTGTTTTTGTCATTTTTCTTGTAAAATGAAAAACAACATATATATTTTAGTGCATGATTTTATTTTTAGTCGTAAAATTTTGAAATTTTAAAGTTGTTTTACAAGATTTCAACCTATTTTCAATAAAAAAAATTTCTCGCAATTTAGATAGGCCTATAGCATCACTAAATGTCTTGTACATTAACTTTTATAACTAGAAAAGTCAGACAGTGCTAAATCAAATCTACGCTAACTTCTTGAAAATAAAATTTCTCCCAAATATTGTACATGCTAAATTTAATACAATTACAGTACATGTATATATGCCACATGTATTTGATATTAAATGTCAAGATTAAGTTTACCCATGAGTGTGTTCAAAGTTTTAAAAATGTAACGTGAAGCAGTCACCCATCCAAGGGTTAAACAGGCTTGCCGTTGCTTAACTTGCCTGAAATAGAAGGAGACTCTACCGCATCACCAGAAAAGCTAGCTCACTAGCGAGGCAGTATAAGTTCCCTATATACTGTCCGCTACAAAACCTCCAATCTACTCTGTTCTGTTAAGAGCCTGAATGTTCATCAGCTGTGGATTGCTCAGCCTCAGGATTAAGGCAATCCCAAGCATGTTGAGGAGGTCCATTAACACCAAAGTTTCTCAAAGCATCTTCCACCAGATCACTGTGATGCTCAAGGCGGGCTTTAGTTTGAAGTATTTCATCTCTTCTTATTTCAAACATTGCCTCTAATGGAAACTCACTATCATTATCCCTCAAGTCTGTTGCTTCATCTCGCCATGGTATGAACAGCATCAGTTGCTGGTGATAAAATTTTTCACTCTCCTTATTTACGGAAAACATATGATATCGTGGAATAGCCGGTTTGTGGTATTTTTTCATTATGCCTCTTCCATCCTTGAGCTTGATTACTTGAGGACGGGTATTAGTGTCATGAGCACAATCAAGATCGCTGTTTTTGGACTGAGATGAAGGACCATACCAGACAGCAAATTCCCAAAGACAAAGTTCATTTAGGAGTGGACTATCTGGTCTTTTTTGGTATTTTTCTACAATACCTAAGGCATATATATCCGTATCATCATCATCCAGTTCATCCAGCAAGGACTGAGGTTTTAAAATACCAATTCTGTCATCATGAAGATCTGTTGGTATCCATACCATTTTTGAACTGCATCTCTTTAAAGGTATACTCAGTAGCCTATAAGCAGCTTCTTGAGCACTTATTTCCCGATTGCAGTCTAGACTTTATATCTGCATCCCTTAATTCTTTTGCTGCCTCTTTTAACATCTGTGACAGTTCTTGTTCATCTTTGGTTACATAAGATGCTATGTAAGTTATGCATGCGTATGGATCACACACAAACTGCAAGTCCATGTTTGCCTTCCAAACTTGTAGAATGTCTCTGTTATAACAGTTTATGTTCAGACTGCTTGGATTTCTTCTTAGTACGACAGATTTTCCTGCTTTCGAGTATCTAAGGGCATTATAATAATTTTCTTCTGATACTCCAGCAATGCACAGGACTTGTTGAAGAGAAAAATCTGAGATTTTTACTGTATCATCAGTCAGGACGTCATTGACCTTTGATACAGTGGCTGGAACGTTATTGTTGACAAACCAATCGTGTAGAAACGTTCGTGTATCGTGAGTGATCGTTCGTTTAACGTGAGAGATCGTTCGTGTATCAGACTCAATCGTGTGCGTTTTTAATCGTGCGAGATCGTGCGTTTAGAATCGTGTAAATTTCGTTTTGTTAGTTTTTATCGGAATGCTATTTCTAAAATAAGCATTTTCCTTGTTTGGTTTTCTTAATTTATTAACTAAAATCAAAATAAAATGAAAAAGCGCAATTTACATAATAGAATGCAGAACGAACTAATTATTGCTTATAAACAAGCAATATAGTAAGTCGTACAATATTAAGTTTTCGTCAAATAGCGCAATCAATTCTGTGATAAACCGTACTTAGATTTCTTACGCCTTTCTGAAAAATGATTTAATTATTATTTACTTCTAATTGTGGTCAAGATAATCTTGAAATCAATTTATTGAAAATAAATTTTATTTTTACAAAGAAATAAACATTTCTCAATGCTTACATAGCTAGTTAGTAGACAAATCTACATGCACACGAAATGATTTTCGGGAGTTTTGATTATCTGTGTTTATCTCTTGAGCTTATTTGTAACTAATTAATTTTTAATTTCTGCAAATAAAAAAGTTCAATAATTCGCAAGTTTATCAGGCATTGAATAAATGGAAACGTAAGGATACAATTTGTAATTATAATCTCAGTCATTCAATGCTGCCATTTTTGTTGAATTGTATCCCCTTTCTGCATTGCATGATACCCAATTCAATCAAATTATACGACCCACATACATGTACATCGTCTAATAGAACGAACAAAATCCGTTTTCTTTGATCGGAGAATTACCTTAAAAATAATTATTTTTAATCTGAAATATTAAGTCTTGCATTTATTTAGTTACAGGAAATCATTTTCCTTTTTTTTTCAAAGTCTATGAAATAATATTGATAATTCTTTGAAATCTTAAATAGGTATTAAGCTTTATTTCGTTTTGAAAATATTAATTCCTAAATATGTTGAACTATTTTGAGTGAAGAAACGTGCGTTTGCGTTAACAATCGTGTAAGATCGTGTAACGTGTAGAATCGTGAACGTGAAAGATCGTTCGTGTAACAGGTTTAATCGTGCGTTTATCGTGCGGAATCGTTCGTGTAACGTGATCGTTCGTGTAAGTTGTCAACAATAACGTTCCAGCCACTGTAATACTTCTTTTGCAGCAGCAGCTGAAACATCGATGATGGAGACATCAGCTTCAGGATTGGACAATAAAGTTTTGTCACTTGGTGGCTTTGGATAATGAAATCTACATGAAGTGCCATGTTTCCTGCAGGCAACAGAATGAGTGTGCTGCTGTTTACTCAGTACCTCATCGTGTAACGGATCATCTGGAGGGGGAATTTCACAGGTGATATAATTGTCAATCCAGTTACATATTTCATCTGCAGAAGATGTTTTCATATCCGGTGCATTTTCAACCCATAAGACTGCATGACAGTGGGGTGATCCACGAAGCTGGAACTCAGTTCTTTGATAAAAGTGTGTTACTTTGCCAAGTGGAGCTGCTGTTGACTGGATAACATCTCGAAAAAATGACTGTAATCTGTGGTCAAACTGTCTAGCTGCCATAACTGGGTTTTGTCGCAACCATTTGCACTTTTCCTCATAGGACATACTTTGAATATCTTCTTCACTAAACTTGTGCCCATGCTGTAAAGCAATAGCTTGGATTGTTTCTGGCCACTGAAGATCTGCACAAGACAATGTTAGAAACCAAGTAAAGACACCCTTTGCACGAACCATTGCTAAAAGTTCATACTGTGCACGCTGCCAGTATGATGGTGAGCCTCGCACCTGTTGAAGAAACTGGAAAGCTTGGTCCTTGACAAAAATCTCATGTATTCTTGCAGGATTCCTCAACTCACCAACAGTTATGTCCATTCGTCTCGCTTTTCGCAATGCAATATTTAGTGAATTCCGTACTTGTTGTTTTTCACAGACATTTAGAGCATAAAACAGATATGGAATTGAAGATGCAAATCTACATTATTCTTTGTATGAAGTACTTTTTGGCAGTTAGTGCAACATCTCTGGAGTTTCCATTATCATCTTCAAAAAATGTAGATTTCCCAGTAGGAAATAAATGTGGAAAGGCCAAGGCTTCACATTTTGTGTCAAGAAAAGGATCCAACGGACTTTTTCCCTCGCCAGGTGCAATACAGTATTCCTTCTCTGCTAAGTGAGTAAAATTACTTGGATGTAAGCAAGTATCAAACTGTACTCCTCGGACTCTCTCCTGAATGTCTGAACCATTCTCATCTATATCATCGTTATTTCTTCTGGGACATTCTGAGTCTTTTGAAATAACCTCATGCAGTTCTTCTTCATCCTCATCGCGAGAATTCGGTAAAGTGCTGCAAAGACTTTCTTGATGATTCTGCTCTTCTTCATTGCCTATATTTCCTGTGAATAAACTGTTCCACATGTCTTCATCCTCCTGACACTGTTGTACCCATTCATCTGTGATACAAATATTACTGTACAGGGGATTGTTTTGTATAAGCCAGATAAGAGCCTTCATAACACAGTCAGGTCGTATGTTTTGGTGTATGTGGTGTCCTTTGTAGGCTAGTTTCCTTTTCAGTTTGAAAGGAATGATTCCAGATTCTTCAGGAGTCCCAGGAAGTGATGAACACACACTCTCAGTATCAACAGGAATATTTACAAAAGAACCAACCATGCCTTTCTGTCCTCCTCTAGGAAGGTTCAGCATTTTGAAGAAAATTATCCTTTGTGAAATGAGGATGCACTCTAACTCCCTTAAATCCTTCAATTCATCAGGGATTTCCTCTGTGATTAAATCATTTGCTACTGCAGTGGCTGGCATTTTGTTTTTCATTAATACTGCATGACATCCATTACAAATATATCTCTTTTCATCAAGTGAGTGCTTTCCTGTTAGACATTTATCCAGTAGCTGACTTTCAGTATTTATATACTTTTCTTCAGACAAAAGCTGTACAAGACTTCTGTAATACATTTTATGGCAACAGCAGCATATAAACTCAGGAAATTCCTTAATTGGCATCCTGAATTTGAGTTCAAAATCTGAAGCAGCTGCTCTACGTTTATTCTGTTTTGATTCAGCATCTCTTTGTCGAATAGAGTTTAAAGATTCTTCAGTTAAGTCTTGCCGCTTTTCCCTTCTGGAGCTTGTTTCTTTTTGTCTTATTTTGTTGCGACCTTCTTCACTTTAACTTTTTCTCTTCTCTCTTCTGGAGCTTGTGTCTTTCTGCTTAATTTTGTCTGAATCTTTTTTGTTCATGCACTCTCTTTTCTTTTTTCTGGAGCTTGTCTCCTTTCGTTTGATTTTATCAGAATCTTCTTTACTCATTATTTGCCTTTTTTCCTTTCTGGCGCTTGTATCCTTTTGCTTGATTAAACTCAGTTTTTCGACACTCATTTTCTCTCTCCTTTTCTTTCGTAAACCTTTCTCTTTTTCTCTCACTTTCCTGATTGCATCTTTATCTAATTTTCTTCTTTTTTCTCTCTTGTTTGTTGCCTCTTTATTCTTCAACAGATGATAATCTTAATCACTTAATGACATTTGCCTCATCTTTCTTTTTTGGTCTCTTTTTCATTTACTTTACTCTTCTCAACCTGTCTGATTTTGCCTTTGCTTCCTTTTAACACATTTGGAATAATATTTCCGGTGATGACTTTGAGTGGTAATGTCAATGCTAACTGCTACAATCTCATAATAATCAGCACTAACTGCTTTGGATAGGTCAGATAAATACTGATGAAGGGAATGGAAATTGTTATAACGAAGAAGGACTGCAGATCCATTAGGTGAGGGAAGGCCTTTCTGATTTCTTGAATGTGGATCAAATGCAAAAATTGTGTTATTTCCTGCATGATATATGGCACTGGTATATGATACTCTGTGAACATCCCCAAATAGAAAATATATAAATGGAGAAATACCAAAAGCAATATCCATTGCATTTTTGAATTCTTCATTTGAACTGCACAGTCCTGTGTGTTCAGAGAGGATTGTTGTCTGGTAATATTGCTTCTGGAATAATGATGTCCCCTCAAGCTCTTTAACCATTATGTATTCCTGCCCATGCATTTTTGAAGTTTTACTGTATAAACATGATCCATCTTTAAGTATGTTGTCTAATGATCTTGCATTTACATTTTGCAAATTGGTTGTATAAGCGAATATCAGAAAGATTAAACAATTGCATGTACACTGTTTTCCCGCATTTTCATGAAAAATTGGGTCTCCTTGGTGAATATTGGCTTTCAATACATGGAGGCTCCGACGACGTTCTTCCTGATCCTTAAAATATTCTCCAAGTGGTTGTGCAGACATCTATAATATAAAGAAAAGACAATAAATGTGATAGTCAGTAAAATCAAAATATAAATAACATTTTAATTATTCAATATACTTTTACCTTTAATCGGGACAGATTGTCATAGCAAGTTTTTCCTGTCTCTGAACATCTTCTCCAGCTTCTTGATCTTTACCCCTGAAACAGATATTTTAGCTTTTATACACAGTACCTTTAAATTCCCATGAAGCAGAATAAAAAAAAAATCCATGACTTATAGACATATTGTTTATTGCATCTCTTGTCAGGAGAATTATTTTCTATAATATAGAAAAAGATAATAAATGTGATAGTTAGTAAAATTTAAATAAAAAAACATTTTAATTATTCAATATTCTTTTACCTTTAATTAGGACAGATTGTCATAGCAATTTTTCTCCCATCTCTGAACATCTTCTACACCTTCTTGATCTTTACCCTTGAAACAAATTACACAGTACCTTTAAATTCCCATGAAGCAGAATAAAAAAAAATCTATGACTTATAGAAATATTGTTTATTGCATCTCTTGTCAGGAGAATTATTTTACAGCATATCCTAAAGAATGAAAATAGCTCTAAATAAAAAAAAGCAATACACTAAATATTACATTTTTACTTTAGAGTTATGCCCCTTTCCACATTTGCATGAGTCTGGACACTTGTATCATAATGCAAAACATCATTTTAAAAGAGATCACCTCAAAAAAATATTCATTGTTTTTAGTTTGTTTTATATAAATGAAAGTTTGTGTGTGCACTGTTTTTTATATACTTGATATGACATAAAATGTTTACAAAATTATTCAGTGTCTCGTAAAATTGTGCATGCAACACTTGTACGATTAGTCAATGAAAAGCTGCACTACCAATGTATGTACATCTTCTTTATATTGTATTCAAAGTTTGAGATATTTTAGAGCTACATACTAAGAAACTTGAAAGAACCATTCGTTCTTTTTTGCATGAGACTCGGAGCTTCCATTCTCTGTAAAAAATTTCCTTTAAGAATCCAGGTATTGGAAAAAAGGCAGTGTAAAATTGCACTTTCTTTAATTTTGCAGAAAAGAGATGTATTTGAGCATTCTCAATTAAAAACAAACATCCAAAAGTAATATATATATTTTTTTAAACTTCAGAAGCACTTCTTTCATTATAAAATTGCACAATTTGAAACATAGGTTGTGCTCATGTACACTAAATATTGAAGAACTTTTGGCCATTCCTCAAGAAATAGTCATGATATTAGGAAAATGATGCAATAGTATTGTCATAATGCATTCACAAATGGAAAAAGTATGTCATTTAAAATACTGCATATAGGGTTATTTTCACCCAGTTTTATTGTTGCCCTTTTATGCTTGCAAATAATTTTGCCCTATTTAAATTCCTCCAATCATTGTTTTGTTTAAAAAATGATGGTAAGGGTAAAAAAAGTAAAAATAAAATAGAGGCAAAAATTTCCCTGAATACATGAGATATGCAGTCACCAAGAATTCAAATAATATCTTCTTAGTAATGCACATTAAGCAGTTTTGATTTATATATAGGTCAATTCATTCATAATAAGACACAATATGGAATGCAAAAAAATATGAATCCTGCTGAGTAATAAGTACACTCATATTAAGCAACCATACTGTATAGCAGTATAGTTTTAACTTAAGTTAATTTCAGCAAAGTTGTAGCAGCTTCATATTAATTGCTTAATTTGCAACTTCATGAATGCAAGAAAGATAACTTCAATCAGTTTATTGCTAAAGAATATAGTTGATTTATCTTTCTTTTTCCCTATCATAGCTCTGGATAAGATTTTAAAAAAAAAACAACAACAACAAATTTTGCAACTGATAAAAAATACTAAAAATTAAGTATCTTCAGATACTTAATTATGTTCCCCAAACGAAGTTGGGGAACATATTGTTTTTACTCTGTTTCTTATTATGTTCCCCAAACGAACCCAAACGAAGTTGGGGAACATATTGTTTTTACTCTGTTTCTTATTATGTTCCCCAAACGAAGTTTGGGAACATATTGTTTTTACTTTTTCTGAATTTTTTCTTTGTTCTCCGGTACTTTTTTGTCCGCGAGTGTTCTCGTAAACTACTCATCCGATCTAGGTGAAACCTTTTTAGGGTCACTAGGTATGTTATGTAGATGTGCGGAACGAAGGTCATTTTGCGCGCACGTGCGTGCATGTGCGCGCACCTGTAACACGTGAAATGACCAATATAATAGATTTAGCCGTAACTTTTTAAATATTGGATGAAATGCTTTGAAACTCATAATATAAGGATATAATAGTAGTATAGACATGATGACATGGTCAAAATAGCAAGATCTCACGCGCATGCAGGTGTCCTTCGCTGCGATTGGCTGAAACTAAAAGTCTAAATATCTATTTTGTTTTCTGACAAAATCCTTTGAAATTTTGAACATAGTCCTACATTATGAAGATCTACAGCATGATATATAAGAATAATCATGAACGCACGCACATGCACGTGTGCTGCAATCTGATTGGCTAAAACTTTAAATGTCTACAACTTTCTTGGTTCTCAATAATACAGGGTGAAATTTCAAATATGAATAGATATAATGATTGCCTACATTATACTACTATCAAAAGTAAATGCATGGACGTGCATGCACATGCGACCGCACACAATGTATTAAAAGACAGTATACTTGAGTGTTTGATGTTCATGCAGAATTAAGAACTTCTAAATGTCAAGACATGTAACATACTGAAGCATGCAGATCTTTTTACCCTTGACCTTGAAACTTAGGTCAAGGTCACTGGTAACCTGAATAAAATGTTGATATTAGCTATTTACCAAAATCACCTTGACCTATGAACTTGAAATCGACCTTAACCTTTGTCCTTGACCCAAGGGTAAAAAGAAACATGAAGTACATGTACATGTATCTAGAAACACCTTTCAGAGTTTATTTCGGTTGACAGGTTAGAAGTTAAAGAGGTGGTGGTTTTTAATGACCTTGACCTTTCATTCAAATGTCACAATCAATCTTAAGTTCTTGGAATAAGATACAAGATTCAACTCCAATGTTAAATAGGTTAAGAATAAAAATAACCCCCACCCCCACCCCCCACCCCCACACACAAACAAATCAAATTAATGGCAACGTAGAGAATCACTGTTAAACTCAAATAACACCTCGGACCCACATAAAATTTCAGGAAAACTGCAGAAAAGAACTTGAGGAAAGTGTATTAAAATATTTCATTTGAGTTTCCAAAGTATATAGAAATTATTAATTTATACAGAAAAAATTACAAATCCTGTCGTGTTTAAAATTAAAGTGCAGATGACCAAAGTTGGCATATAAGCCTTTTATAGCCTATTTATTCAGATGTCGTTAATAGCATTCTTTTTTACTGATTTGAAATAATATTTTAATACCAAGCATCCTTTGTTTAATTTACCTTTGAAATTTATTTGAATTTTTTTTTAGAATTACGCAATCCCCAGAAATAGCGATTTTAGGTATATTAAAAAATCAATATACATGTACGCTCCTTCGTGAAATAATCAGATATTTGCATTCATGAAAAAAATATTAATAAGAAGGTGTTAAACAATATAGGTCATATTAGCTGACACGAATGTCTTTTTAAACATCTCTTGTAAAACCCAGAGAGTAGCCCCCTATGCATTGGAAAAAATGAATAGTTCCGGTCAAAAAACCTTTATATATTTATTTACAAAGTATATAAAATTTACCAGGCACAGGTATCAGAGTTGTCAAAATGGCCTGAGAGGAAATATTAAAAAAAATTCTGAACAGAAAGGAAAATCCCTTTTCCATGTATGGAACTACTATTGAATAAGTTCATTTTGATTGGTTAGGTATTGGCGTGATACCCTTAGTCGACTTTAACCCTGCCTTGTCGTCGGAATAAAACCAACTTTGAGCCCGAGGTTAAAATAAGTAGAGAAATAAAATGTGAATCGATATATTAAAAATATGACATATGCTTGAAAAATGGTAAATTTATATATGTATTTTTTTCTTTGATTCGCGGGATAGAAAGATATGTTAATCGCTTAATCAACATGCCATAATCATCTTGCATATGCATGTACATGTACGTGTGCGCGCATGCAAAACGTTAAACAATATATCGTTGATAGTTGATATCATTGTAACCTTTATATTCTTAAATGAAATCCTGGGATACTTAGCATATTTATAAAAGGTCTTAGAGGAATAAGGCACGATAAGGGACATGGGGAGCGTTTGGGGAACATCTGTAACGGTCCCCGTTACAATTAGCACTAGTTCTTATTATTATGTTCCCCAAACGAAGTTGGGGAACATATTGTTTTTACTCTGTTTTTTATTATTATTATGTTCCCCAAACGAAGTTGGGGAACATATTGTTTTTACTCTGTTTCTTATTATGTTCCCCAAACGGAGTTTGGGAACATATTGTTTTTACTCGGTTTCTTATTATTATTATTATTATTATTTTTTTTCTTATTTGTTCTCCGGTACTTTTTTGTCCGCGAGTGTTCTCAGAAACTGTTCACCAAACTAAGTTAAAACCTTTTTAGGGTTAATGGGTGTGTAGTGTAGGTGTGCGGAACGAAGGTCATTTTGCGCGCATACGCCTGCACGTGCGGGCGCGTGAAATGAGTGAAATGACTGATATATTTAATATAGTCATAACTTTTACATTTTTTGATGAAATGCTTTGAAACTCATTA